TCCTCCTGGGCTCTGCCCCTTCTCCTGGTGCATTTACTAACTGCTTACCTAGCGAAGCTGTGGTTTCACCTACTACTGTGATTTAGCTGCTCTTCTCTTTCCTGTCCTGCTAAAGTTGATACAGTTACAGGTGGTTTGCAGCCAAGAGCCCCTATTATTTATTGCATGCTTGATCTACATCTGGGCCCCCTTTTTTACTCCACTTGTCTTTAATGACTCCCTTATCCACAGGCCCTGCCGCCTGGTGCACTTCAACCTTTACCAAAGAGGCCAGCACTTGAAAAAAACAATGGTGCCACCACAGTCTTTAACCCAAGCGTTTTCCACTACCAACAGGCTCTAGCCAACATGCAGTTGCAACAGCCTACATTCATCCCTACAGGTAAGTGTCTCCTTGCTTTCCCCAGCATCGTAGTTGTCTTTTTTATGACCTAGGCGTTGAGCTAATGAGCAGATTTGTAAGAGTCCTTAGCAAAAGAGTATCAGTGTGTAGTTTCTTGTTAAAAATGGATGAAAAGTTAACGTTTGTTGTTTGACTTTTTTTTTCCTTCACCTACTACAATGCAGAGCTTTTCACTTGTAAAGATCCCTTCCTAGTCTTTTTTTGTTTGGTTTTGGGTTTTTTTAAGTGGTTGAACTAAGAAAAATGTCTGCATGTTTCTGAATTCATACTTTATGTTTCTCCTCCGTATGGTTCAACTGGTTAATCCCAAATTAATTCTTTCACTCTTGCGTAGCTCTCTTACGGACTCATGTTAAAACGTCTTGCGGACCTCTATGCCTGCTCACTTGAAGCTGCAGGTATCTTTCTGAGCTTCTGTCTCAGTGACCTACATATTCCAGCAGCCATGCTGTTCATAGAGGGAATGGTTTGTCTTTAGTAAATACAAATTACATAATCCTCTTTAAAGGCATATATTTCCCTCTTGCTTGTCTTTTGACCAGTATGATAGTCTAAGCTTTTTAAAAGCAATTTAACTCCCAGCGTTTATTGTACCTTTAAGGTCTCAGAGTAAAAGTGAAAGATGCAGTTCAGTAATTCATATAGGACTCGAAGTATTGACGTGGCAGAGATGTGACTGCTGACTAGCCAATTAACCGCTATTCACTGCAGCCAAATGAAAAACAAAACCTGCTTAGAGTAGTATTATGAGTGGCTGAATTAGGAATATTCCAGAGTGGATAGCTCATTTTTTAGTGTCATCATTATCATTGCAGAGCATCGTAAGAAAACGAACGCCCAATGTTTTTAATGTTTAATGCTGTATTCACTTGCCAGATGATATTTACAAAACTATACAAAGTGTTTCTCTGGGCTGGCCCCTCGAGGTGAACACGCAGTGGACCTGGACCTTGGCCTTGCTGTTCCTTGGGGTCAGGGGAAAAGCTTTCGAGACAGTCCTATACTGAGACCGAACCATCTCAGGGGTGAGCGTGGGTCCAGAGAGCTGGGACCTAAACCCTGTGCTCGTGTGGCCTTTCTGTTATGAGAGCACTTGGAGACACTCAGAACTCAGCAGCTGGCAAGATGTTCTTCCAGGGAAGCGGAGTTTTGTGCGGAAAGACGGAGGGAGGGACTCGAGTGCTCTGCAAAGTGCCCTTGGAGGGGATGGGGCTGAGCTGGCCTTACCGCAACTCTGTTAGGTGCCAAGCGAAATACTTCTTCAGGAAACACCGACACCTTTGAGAATGCCAGGTCCCCCAGCTGGCTACACGCTCCTCTTCCTCAAGGTTGCAGTTGCCAAAGTTGACATAAGGACATGCATTTCTGATGCGAGCACCATAAATTAGCTTTTACCCAGCACTCTCACTGTGCTGTTGTGCCCTGTCTCATGGCAATGAAATTACGCTCAGGGCTGATGTGTAACAGGTCTATTTGCTGGCACCTGCTCTCGTCTGAGGACATTAATGCTGGGCAGAGCAGCAGATTTCCAGTCAGCGGACGGATCTCTGATGAATTTATGTTACGCATTCGCGTTTTCCCTTATGCATCAGGCTGCAGACCTGGTCTGAGCCTTTGCAGCAGTCTGGAAAGCGAAGCAGAGAAGTGGCACGTAGCAGCTCACACTGTGGGGAGGGGAAGTGAGCTGTTGCTTTTCTGAGTTTCTCCTGTTCAGTTATTGAGAGATCAGCATCAGGGGTTGCCATGGGGGGAAAGTCAGGATGTCTATTGAAAATGGCATCATCACTACAATTGTTTCGAGTCCAGAAAAATACTGCCTCTTTCAGCTTAAACTAGAGACTTCAAATCCCAGTCCCTGCTTGCAGGAGTAAATTGCTTTCGGAAAGTCGGTTTTAACATGAGTGTGACGTTCCTCTAAGGGCAATTTGTTTTCTGCTGACATGATCAGAAAAAAATCAACGTACCTGATACCAAAAAAATCCCCAAACAACCCTGATTTCTAGCATAGATCATATAATTTAATATCGGGGTGAGAGAAGAAATATATTCTCTACTACCCAAGAATTCAAGAATTAATTTGGTTTGCTATGATCTCTTAAAACTGAGTTTAAACTATTTATATACCAATATGCAGAATCTGTTTGCATGTGCTCAAATACTGAATGCTGCAAAGAGAATACCTGCTTTTTAGTTAAAGTGATTTCTAACACTGAAGCTTCACTAATGAAATATCCCTTTTGTTCATCTTTCCACGCTTCAATGCATGGTGTGCAGGGTCAGTTCTGTGCATGACACCCACTGCAAGCGTTGGTAGGTTTTTCTACACAAACTTCTCAACTTTTCCTAATCTGAAAGAGACAGCAAGTTAGTATGCATCAGTGAGAACCTGGGTGGCTGAGTGGTGTGACTGTCTATCCGCTGTCTTCTTTGAGGCTTAAATGGTTGTATGCCTTTTAATTTCTGTGCAGTGCAGTGTTTCATGTGACTAATAAGAAAACCCAAGGTGATGTGTTCCCACCCCTATTTAGTTCTGCTGCAGAGACAAAAATTTGTCACTTAAATGTCTTCACAACCCATTTAAGTCATCCACCAAAAGGAAATAGCAATGGGAGGATCCTGTTGGTTTATTTTTTTGTAACAGGCATCAGGTGGATTAGAGTTTGGATTTTCGGTTGTCCTTCTGAGGACATTTTAGGAGACTGGTTTAATAAAGGCGTGCTAAGGAGGAACACATCTGGGGTCAGCCCCTCTGCCAGAGCAGGGCGCTGCTTGTACAGCAAGAGAAGCAGGGCTTAGACTGTGGACTGGCTGAAGATTCATCTCTTTAGTGAAGAAGCATCAGCTGTGCAGGTACAAGAGACCGTAGGGAGGTACCACTGCTGGTGCAGGTGGGACGCAGTGAGGCGGCAGGGCTGAGTGCGTACTCGTTGCTGCTGCAGGGATCCAGTATGTTCAGGCTCAGCATCTGGGTCTTACTGGGAACCTGTGCAGGTCTTTGAGGGACCTTTCCCTCTGTCTACAGCTGCTGGGCACAGCAAGGTGGGTGAAAGCTGAGCTTTCAACCTCCAACCAAGGTTATATAAGACTACCAGCATCCAGGTGTGTGCCTGCTTCAGCCAGAGGGAGAAGGTGGGAACAGGAGCCCTGGGGAGAGGGTGCAGGGCTTTCGGGGAGCAGGTCTGAAAGCTTTGGCAGGAATGGCTAAGCACTCTGCTCTCAAACCTCCCCATCCCTATAGCACAGAGAGGACACACCGCTTGCATGACGGGGAGCTGAGCCCTTCAAACACACCTCTGCCTGTAGGAACGCCCAACTCACGTGCTCCCACATCCCATGGCTGGAGTGTGTCCAGCCTGCAGGCACGCATGCTCCCTGCCGGGGCCGGCTGTGTCTGCTGGGGTGGTGAGGAAGGCAAGTCTGCTTCCCTGCCGCATGTTTGCGGGCTCCCTGGACCCGCAAACCCCCCCCAGGTTTGGGGGATGCCTGTGTGCGACCTGGAGCATCCTCTCCAGCACTGTGCTCTGCGGGACGCGCAGCTTCAGGAGGCTGCCGAGCTCCTTGCTGCCGTGTTGCCCTTTGGGATGCTCTTTCTGCAAATTGTAGCTGTTCAGATGCATTCATGTATTTTTCCCTCTCGGCCCCCTCCCCGCTCCACCCCCCCCACACCCCGCAAGAGGGGAATTTTGCCAAATCCTCTAGAATTAGGGTGGAAAGGAAGCACACTGAATTTGTACGGAGAGAGCTCGGGCTGCCAGCCGCTCGTTTGCCGTGCCTCAAGCTCTGTCCCGTGCCGAAACATTGTCCCCGCTAGAGAGAAGCAAGAAAACCCGGTGAAAGGGAGGCGGCAGCCGCTGCAAAGTGCATCATGTACCTCTGGTTGCTGGCGGGGACGGGGTGGGGAGGGAAGGGGACAAGCTTTCCCAGGCGGGCGGGAGGGTGCGCTTGCCAAAATGTCCCCACCCAAAGGAACGTGCACTGGCTGTGTCTAACTCCCCACGGGTGCGAGCTGATGTGGGCTTTTGCTAGCACACCCGCCCTCTCCCCCCTTTGGAAATTTGGCCCTCGGAGTCTAATACATCATTGTTCTGCTTATAAATGTACTAAGTGTTGAGAATGTTTTGGTTTTTTCCTTAATTATAATTGTAATTGGCTTTTCCCCTTCTCTCTTGTTTATTTTTTTTCCCAACGCTGTCTTGCTTTGCACTGTGATTGCATGCTGCGCCCCGATGTGTCCTTCATGACGATGTCACATGGCTTGTTGCTGTGATTCCTGCCACGCCCCCAAATCCACCACATGTTGCCATGGTTACATTTAAAAAAAAAAAAAAACCAACCAAAAAATATATACGCTCCACCCTCCCGTATGTCGCTTCCATGGTTCCCTTCCGAAAGTGCCCATGATGCACGGTGCTACGCCCACCACTGTGTCTGCAGCAACAACTCCTGCCACCAGCGTCCCCTTCGCTGCAACAGCTACCGCCAATCAGGTTTGGCCCTTTCAATGGCTTTCTTTCACGTGTTCAGATCTCGAGGACCGGGCGAGGGCCAGATCCTGCGCGGGGCCGAGCGCCTTCCCGACCCGCTCGGCTTGGTGCAGGCTCGGGTGCGCAGAGGCAGCGGGGGTGGGGGGGGGGGGGGGTGGGCGGGGCGCTTTCCCGACCCGCTCGGCTTGGTGCAGGCTCGGGTGCGCAGAGGCAGCGTGTGTGTGTGTGTGTGTGTGTGTCCGGGGATCGGTGAGGGGGCCAGCCGGTCCTGCTGTGTGCGGGATGGGCAGCGAGCCCGACCGGAGAGTAGGGATGGGCGATTGGCAGGGGTGCAGGCGCTTCTCCAAAAACAACACCCCCCTGGGTCCTGAAAAACTGGGCTGTAAAACTCCCGACCATACTGTTCGCGCAAGACCTGCAGCACTTCTGCTTTCAGTCTCAAGCAGAAATACCACCCTGAGCATCCTTCCCTGTGGTATTTTGGCATGTCCTCTCCTGGCTGGAAAGTGGAAGTGAAAACACAAAGCGGCCTCCCCCCACCACAAGATCGGACTCTAAAAACAACTAAAAAAACCCGAACCAACCAAAACCCAAAAATTGGGGGCAAAGCTATGAAGTCTGAAGCTTATTTACACCAATAACGTCACCCATCCCTACAGAAATGACTCTGGATGTGCAGTACGTGCCGTTGTAGCACTGCCATAAGTGTACAGGATTTCATGCATGTCTGCCGAGCCATGATTCTCTCCAAAACTTTCCTCTGAAGATACCGAGTTGTGATGGCTGCTTCCGCACCAGTCCTGAACTGTATATGCACAACCTGTCCTAGTGATGCTTCCTGATAATCTGGTGTGCCACAACTTTTCCCAGTTAGACCAGAGACATTTCAAACACTTTTTTTTTTCCCTCCCCCCCCAATACTAATTTTAGCATTTTTATTTGTCATGCTCTCAGGCTTAGAGCTATTGCAAAGAAAATGGGGTGTGACTTTGTTCTGTAGGAGGCTGTTAGCCCTGTCGAATGTCAGTAATATCTCAGGGGGCATCCTCTAGTCTTTTGCTAGTGCGAGGTCACGAGGCTTTCAGTAGAAGTTTTGCCTGCATAAGTCCTAGGCAGTGTTTTACTGCTCGCAGTAGGGATTGCTAGTCTTTTTCTGTGCTTTGTTGTTATTTTCAGGTAGAGCAGGTCTTACTCATACTCGTATTGGTCATGAGAAGAAAGCAGAAATTCCTGTGCAGCATTGCTCTGTGGCTGTATGAGTCCTGTTTCAGCCAGATAGTTTCAGGGCATTTCTGTCTTACTTGTAGTCTATGGAGTTAAAATCCCAGTACAATCACCACGTACTCCACAAGGCATCAGAGGTGATGCAGCTATGTTGTACTTAATGTGTGGCAAAATAAAGACATCTTGGGAATGGATCCTGTTTGATAAGACACTGATGTACTGACTGACCTGATACTGAAGACAGAATGAGCAGCTCGATCTCAAGACAATGTTTTAATGTGTTGTGTTCTTTGTTTTTTTTGCTGTAGATATCCCAGTTATCAGTAGATGAACTGAGTAGCAGCATGTTTGTTTCACAGATGTAGAAGTTCCTGATAGAACAGTAAGTTCCTTTTCGGTATTTCTCTTTAAGGTGGATTGCTTTGTACAAGGGCACTGCATCCCCCAAAAGGGGGGCTGGCTCGGGCAGAGGGGCCAAGCCTGCGGGACCCCAGCGGCTCCAGGCTCTGCCAACTCAACAGAAATTCAGCAGCTGCAGCACAGATACGGACCGGCCCTATGGGCTATAACAAGCAATGTTTCCTTGTGTCTAAAGTACCTGTTTTACGGTGTTCGCAGCCTCCCTTCTTGCATCCCCCTGAGTCTGACGGCTGTGTTTACAGGTTACTCTTGCTCTGCACGGCTCCCAGCTGCCTGCAGATGCCTCAGGGATTTGTGCTATTGATGGCAAAGACTGCTCTGGTGATGAGTCAGCTGAAAAGGTGTAACTTCTCTTTTGCTGTTAGTGGCATATTTCCTTTCCTGGGGTAAGCAGGATTGGGTCATCATCAGCTGCTGTGCATCTGCAAGGCTGGCTTGGTCTGAGCAGAGATCTGCTGTTCAGATGCAGTGGGGGCCCATGGTGGGTTTCTTCAGAGGTCCTTGTATGTGTTTAAGACCAGGATGAATGCCACAAGCACCATATCCGTCACCCTACCTGCAGATCCTGGGCTTCCCTAGGCTGCTAGGTTTTCCTAAGTGGGAATGATGGAGGAGTTTCTCCTTTTCTTTGACTTACAGAGTATTATTTCACAGCCGTAGCAGCAGTGTCAGTTTTCCATTGCTTTTCTTTCTGAGTATTAGCTGATGTTCATGAGAGAAAATCCCTTGAGGGTTTCAGTTCTTCACTGTATTTTTTTACCCCAAGAGAGTAAAGAGCAGTTCAGCCAATTCAACAAGAGGTCACCAGATTTTCCCAATGCAGGCCATTTAGTATATACAGATACGCAACCCATTTCTTCCTTAGGTCATGTATTACAGGCAAGTACTTAAATGTTAGAAATTAATTTGGCAAGCAATTCCCTAATGATATCTTTAGCAGTTGACAGAAGTTACTCATCTTGGTGGTAGCCCTTATTTCTGCCGACCTTAATGAAGTACCGTATGTATAACTGACCTGCTAGCTGTGGCCATGGACCCCTGTTCATGTGGGGGTGAACACCAAGCTGTCTCTGTTAGTGAAAATGTTCTGTGTTACACAGTGTACTGCTCTCCCAAACAACAGACAGACAGACAGACGTGACACCTGACATGTTAACCCGTTTCCATAACACATGCAAAACAGCCTGTTCCACCCGATAAGGAGATCATTTGCATTGGAAGAGCCTCATTCTTGAACTCTTCGAGACTGTTTTCAGCATTTATTTCAGGAAACTTCTTTTTTCTGAATTCTTTTCACTTTTATGGTTGTGTGTGCTTAAACTCACGCTGTCAATAGTCAGTGATTTCAGGCTAGGCAAGGAACTTCCATGGGATATATGTCTTTAAGGAGGGAGCACGGCACAGTCTGTTGAACAAAGCATCGGTTAAGGACCGTGAAAAACCTTTGCTTGAAAGAAATAGGGTCAACATATTGAATTTGATGGGATTTCTTGGGGATCAGGCTACTGGGCATGGGTCAGCAGCAGACAAGGAGCCTGTTCTTCACAAGGGCAGCGTGAGAACGTGCGTGAGCCACCACTCTGCCAGAAGCATTTGTCCTCTTAACACCTCGCAGCTGTGGGACATAAACCACCTTTGGAGGCTGGTAAAAAAGGGCTATGTTCCCCAGTGCTCGCAGACCCACCAGCAACCGTTTTCATGCAGCAGCATGTGTGTTTTGATCCCATTTCTGGGTTGTTACCCCCTGTGTCCATTCATAAACTAGAGGCAGGCAGATCTCTCGAGGACACATTGTTTCATGCTACCACCCGAGCATGTGAAATTGTGCATGTGCTCAAGCGTTTTGCCAGAAAAGGACCTTGGTTGGCACTCTGCAGTGCAGAGGGGCAATTCCCAAAGCTGCCCTGAGTAGGAGTTGGGTAATTGAAACACTTGCTGCTCTGGCAGATGTTTTTCTTTTCCTCCATGGTTGATGAGGTCCTGGTGGCCAGGCTGGCTAGCCTGGCTCCACAGGAGGCAAGTGTTAGGTCCTTCAGGGGAGGATTTTCATGAGTACATCCCAAGAGAGACGATTTGCTCCCAAAAGAGTGTCCCCTGAGCACAGGGTTTCTGTGGCTGTGTTGTGTCTCTGGGCCCAATTTGCCTTTGGCTCATGGCTCCTTAGGATCAGATTTTAATGTGACTATCTGTGGCTCTCTCCGAAGGAAACAGGAGCTAAGAGGGGTCAGGGATTCCTTTGGCCCTCTCCTTAGTCACTCTCTACCTGCCATCCTGTCCAAAAATAAGGCTATTATTTGCCCACCTCCCTCTTTCACTAATTGTCTTGCCAGTGTGTGTAGCACACTGGAAATGGAAAGCCGTAAGTGCAGATTAAAGAGGACACCAAGTGCGTTATTAGCAATTTCACCCTAAGTCAGAAAATTAAGGGAATAAAATGTTTTCTCTCTGCAACATACTAATGGCAACCTCTTGGGCAACACAGTAAGGATGTAAATGCATCTTATGAGAATGACTTTTATTAAAGTATAGATGTATCTCTCTCTAACTTCTCACTCTTTCTTTGTTGTTTCTTCTTTCCCCTGCAGCAGACCATGTTGAAATTCTGAACAGTAAAATTATGGAGCACCAGGACTTCTTGGTGGGAAGCTGCGCATGGCCTTTCTGTATATATCCCCTCTTCCCTCTATCGTTCTCTACCACCTCTACAGTAAGCCTGTTGCAGCCTACATGTTAACCAAAAACTGATCAATGGGAATGTCAAAAAAAAAAAAAAGCACTATAGAAACAATTAACAAACAGCGCTCTGTTATATGAGATATACAAGTAGAAAATTATAATAGACTTTTATAACACATTACTTTAACACACTTAATCATTTTATGACTACCATCCTGATAAGTGCATCTGCACAGCGGACTGTTGGTTTACTGTATACTATCGATGGATAAATGTTTGTCTTGTTTTTAAAGTGTTATCTTACTGTTTTGTTTACATCATAGTCTATTGATTTGTTTTAAAGTGTACATCATTATCAAGTATACTCAATACCATTTTTTCATTATTGTTATGTCTTAAGTTTTCATATACTGTAGGTTTTATGGGGTTTTGTTTGTTTTTTACTAAAAATGTTATTGTGGGAAACAGGAATTATGTGCTTGAAAAACATGACACAGGAATGTTCTGCCCTTTGCTGGATTTTGCTGTTAATGTCAGCTAAAGTTGCTTGTGTTAAATGCTCCTTTTATCATTTAAAATTTGCCTTCAGATAGAGTCTCCAAATTTTTAGTACAACTGATATGAAAGGACAGCTGTCATTTTAGTCTAGTTCACCGTGTTTCTTTCAATACAATGAGCTGATTCTGGAAACTTTTGGAAAAAAAAAACCACAAAAGCCCAGGCTCAGTCAGGGGACAGGAACAATTCGCTCAGACGGTGGTAAGCATCAAGGGGTTTCTGCAGTTCTGTTGTCCATTGAAGTGCATTCTCAGCTGCAAACGGCGCACAATCTCTCTTGCTGTTCTCATGGTGCAGCCAAAATAAAAAAAAAATAGTTGGTGAAGTGAGACAGCTTCAGTTGGGCAAAGACTCACTGCGTTGGAGGAGCAAATGCCAGCCGTGAGCTGGAGTGGGCCCATAGCCATGACTTAGCCCAAGCTGGCTAATACCGTGCCCGGGGGCTTGTTTCCACTAAGCATGGTGAAACATTTGGGCCTGAAATCTTATGCGGCTCTTCCTGAAATTTTGTCAGTGTGCACCGATTATTTAATCACCATTTTCTGTAAATGAGTGATTTTTTTCCCCCGTGATCTCTGGCCCTTTAAAGCAAACACAGCAGTAACAAAGCAGGAAAAAGCTCAGCCTGAGCTTTCTACTGTAGATAAACATTCATCTTAATGCAGCTCCTGTAGGTCAGTGGATTTATTTTGGCACCTTCTACTTGATCAAGAGTAATGTTTGCCGCACAACAAGGGCTAGTTCTCAATACCTCCTTTTCACACGCACGAATAAAACGATTTCCAGCCCGTGCACCCTGGACAGCCCAGCCTGTCGTTATGCTGCGTTGCTGAACAATCTGGCTGCAGAATGCGTTTTGGTTGAGGATACAGCCAAATTCATCCCTGTCATAGCTCTACAGTATCATTGGCATTATGGAAGAGCTGGATTTGCTGCAGTAAATCCATGAACTCCATACAAGGAGAAAGAGTTATTGAAACCAAGCAAGAGACCAGCTCCCAGTGTCCGGAGGGCTGGCCACCCCGAGCTCACAGTGGTCCTGTAGGGTGCCAAATTCTGACAACCAGGTTTTCTTTTCTTTTCCAAGTTCCTTGGCCTTCGTTAGAGACTTTCCTTGCCCCCTCTCCTCCAGCGTGAGCGCAGATAGTTTGCTAGATATGTAATCTCCACGGACCACAAGTGATGGAGGGGCACCTAGGGCACAGCCAGTGCGTCCCAGAGCAAGCTCTGACCCTTTGCCCGTGGAGACTCATTCATAGCAAGAACCTTTGAAGAGCCCAGCTCAAAAAGGCCTTGAACCAGAAGGAATCTCTCCATTCATTTCAGCAGGCTTTGAACCAAACCCTGAAGGAGGGGGGGAAGAACATCCCCACCCAAGACCCTCCTTTAGGAACCCTGTGTTTTGACAGTCGCTTGTGTCCATAGACGTTCCCCAGCCATCAGCGTTCACAAGCAGCAGCATTGCCTGAAATCAGTGACTCTCATTTATGTTGGCGACCGCAGACCTGTTCTTTTCACCACTGAGTTTCTGTTTCCCAAAACCATAACATTGTTAGTGGAAAAAGTGGATTTGAGTACTTCCTGTTTGAAATTATTTGTGTATCAAAAATGGGTTTTGCACAACCTGTGCCAGTGCCTCAACAAAGAACAGAGCTGATCTTCTTAAGCCAGAAAGGATGCATTCAAGCTTGTATGGCTTTATGAGTTCAAG